GGAGTGGAGCTGTCAGATATTAGGAAGTGATAAAAGATGAAGAAAAAAGGAAAACAGTTAAGAGAACAAAACTTACATTGTAAGCTACATCAATTCACTGTGACATGATGTAAATACTTGAAAGGTCACTTTTCTTCAGTTGAAAAGTGAATGACATGAACAAATATGTTTCAGAAAATTACTTTGAGTTTGTTTAGATAATGTTATCCAGCCAAGAGACAACCTACAAGCATGGAAAGACAACACTAAATTTTATGTTTACCTTTTATCTAGAAATAAGCAATACAAAAATTTTGACAATATAATGTATGGATTAGCATTAGAATAAATGTATGTGTAAATATATTAATATTGCAGATGCATGATTAATATTTGCTTTGTACTGATAGGTATGTGCAATGACAAAAATGTGAAAATCATTGTTATAGGCCAAAATGCACAACATTCTGTATGTAATTTAGGTCTCTCAGAGAAGATCATTGGCCTTATCAACAAGTAACAGTTTATATAAATGTTCAAGCATTGTGAAATATGATCATTCAGTATTAAACACCTAAATTTCAAAAGAGGCCAAGTTCGATGGCTCATGTCTATATTCCTAGCACTTTGGAAGGCTGAGGTGAGAGGATCAGTTGACCCCAGAAGTTCAAGACCAGCCTGAGCAACATAGTAGGACTCTGTCTCTACAACATAAAAATTAAAAACAAAAAAACTAGCCAAGTGTCGTGGCACATGGCAGTAGTCCCAGCTACTCAGGAGGCTGAGGTGGGAGGATCACGTGTGCCTGTGGGATTAAGGATATAGTGAGCCATAATTACACCTGTACTCCAGCCTGGGTGACAGAGAGAGACTCTGCCCCAAAATAAAAAATAAACAAATAAATAAATAAATAAATATTAAAAGAACACTAGACATTTGTTTTATTCTACCAATCCTGAAGTTCAATTAAAAGAAACACAGAAATGTTAAAATTAGATAAATTGTATCAATTAAAACATGATATATAATACCTATAAACAAATTTTGTATGTATGTTTACCTTTAAATAAAAAGAGTGTTCAAAGTTTACAAAGGGATATAAAAGACAAAAATGTGAAAATCTTTTATCTTTATGGCAAAATTATAAAGCTAATATAAATTAATTTAAATATTTAGTATGGTTAAAATTATTAATATAATTTTGGATTATCTAGCTGAAATAATACTAAAATTCATTTGGGAATCAGGAATCATTCAAATATAGCCAATAAAATATGGTAAAAAGCCAGTTGAATCATTATTGTAAAAAATATTGCACAATCCTTTTCTTACTTTTTTGACAATAATATATTTTAATTGGATCCCAAACAATACTTAAACAATAAAACAAGGGGAAAATCACTTTCTTCTATCTCCTCCTTGAAAGACAGGGGTCAACCAGGGTGTAGACCACAGGCATCTAGGCCAGACAGGCAACTTAAACCTGTGACCCAACAAAGTTATGACAATCGATATTCACTCATGTCCAGTAGCTCAAGATAATGCAAACTGCAAAGAACCGAGAGCTTATTTCCAAGTTGATGATAAAAGATGTCATTTTACTCATAACACTATTTATTAGAGTGTGATCCATGAATCACATGAATCATTATATGGGTTCCCAAATCAAAGTGCAAATTTGGGGAAAGTTCTGTCAAACCTAATTTATTAATATTCTTAGAAGTGAAACTAAGGGATCCACAATTTTAACAAGTATTAAGTGATCATTACGTACATACTTTTTTCGTTGTTTTGAAACAGAGTCTCTCTCTGTCATCAAGCTGGAGTGCAGTGGTGCAATCTCGGCTCACTGCAACCTCCGCCTCCCGGGTTCAGGCAATTCTCCTGCCTCAGTCTCACTGGTAGCTGGGACTACAGGTGCACGCCACCACACCCAACTAATTTTTGTATTTTTAGTAGAGATGGGGTTTCATCAGGTTGGCCAGGATAGTCTTGATCTCCTGACCTCATGATCTTCCTGCCTCAGCCTCCCAAAGTGAAGTACATATATATATTTAAGTTTAATTGTATAATTTCCGATTGTATGTCTTGGAGATTTAACAGATTTAGTTTTGTTAATCCCAATACTATGAGTTATGGGTCTTGATAATATCATATAACAGTTTGGTCAAAGGTGGTAAGTAATAAGTTATAAGTAATAAGTTATTACTTAGGTGGTTTCAGTTTGTCATCAATTAATAAAACACGTCTACATACTAAAAAGATATGACATTTCACTTTTCTTAGAATATTACAAATACAGTATTTTAAAAATAATTTTATTTTTTGAAATATTTATATATAGATGAGGATTGTAATTATCAGTGGTCTTTGTCATCAGAGAGATTTGTCTTTGTATTACTTTTCCATTTCCTCATCTACAGAGGGGCAATAAGTATAATTTTATATAAGACTGTTTTGAGAGTTAAAGTACTACACGTGGTTCAATGTTTGGCAAATTTTAAGTGCTCAGCCAGTATTATATTACATACTATCAAGCATATAATACACAAATACACATATGTTAATTATTATGGTGAGAATAGATGGTTTCAGACAATCACAGTTAATCTTGTCTTTAAATAGTTATTGACAGGCAAAGAAACAACATGTACAATTAATGGCCCTGAAGATTTTAAATGTAAGTTACAAACAAAAACATCCAAGTGTAATCTAAGCATGCATATGTATATACACATATATATAACAAACTAGTTAATTATAGCATATGTATGTATGTATGAAAATATAACAAGATATATTGAGACAAATTATTTATCATATATGTATATATGTATAATTATAGCATATAATGCTATAATATTATTCCCCCAACGTTAGTTGGGGGAACTGGGAGAGGGGGTTGGAGGAGTGAGACTCAGAGGTTAGGGGCGGCGTGGTCTGCGTCCATCCCGCCTGCACCCCAGGC